ATTTAAAGGACCATAAAATGTGTTTTTAACTCACAACAGAGAAAAGTTAATTTTATTTTCACCGAGCTTGTGTTAAAAAAAATATTCAAAATGTCCTAATATAACAGAGATGAAAAGTTTAATGAATTTTACCAAAACTGATGTGCTCTTATTAGTTCTCTGAAGCTGGTAGTTTGGCACAGTTGCATGCGAAGGGTCCTTCAGGCACGCACACCTCTCCCCCAGGAAAGCAGGTGGAGGTAGGTGCAAGTAGAACCACTCTACACACAACAGCGGTTTAAAGCCATATTTAGGCTAAATTAACTAACCTGCTCTGACGGTCTGCTGAGAGACGAGTCGGCAAATTGGGAAGGCGGTTGGCAGCGGCAGTGAATTTTATTTTTTTTATTTACCCTTTATGTATACAGGTAGTCTCATTGAGTCACGAGAACTCATTTTCAAGACTGGACAAGAGGTTGCAGAGGGTTTATGCATCAGGAAATGATTTTGGTGGGATGGAAAAGGACTGTACAGAAATGAACAGGATTGGAGAAGATAGTGTCAAAAAAAACAGGACAAAGTGGAAAAAGCAGAGTTCAGTGGAAGACAATTAGAATCCTGAAAATGATGAGGAAAATGAAGATGTTACTGAGAAACAAAATGATGAATATAAAGTCATTACCAAGCTAAATCAAGAGGGAGAGTCTTTTGGTGAGTGGAATCCAATTCAGTTAACCAAAACAATGAATAAACTAATACGTGAAGTCCGAAGTGCCAGAGCTGGAGTAACACGTACCCTTGTCAATATTACTACTTACTGTCTGTGCATAATGTGTAGTCACAAAAATCTCTACAAGTCACCACAATTTAATTTCAGTTCAGTTCAATTCAATTCAGTTTATTTATATAGCACCAAATCACAACAAAGTTGTCTCAGGGCACTTTGCAGAAACATTCACATAAAAGCCAATTAGTAAAGTTCTCTATCTAAGGAATCCAGCAGACAAGTTGAATCTTTGCTTTGTTGCAGTCTCATCCTGAGCAAGCACAGTGGCAACAGTGGAAAGGAAAACTCCATTTTAAAAGGAAGAAACCTCCAGCAGAACCAGGCTCAGGACAAGCGGTCATCTGCTTTGACCAGCTGGGTTTAAGAGGAAGGAGAGACAAACAAACAGAGTGGTAGGTTCAGATATAAGTGCAGGTGAACCTGAAAGACAAACACATGTTAAGGATAGAAAAATAATTACAAATATAAACAGGTTGAGCAGAGTAAGTAAAGACAGCAGCAGTGTGAAAAAAATGTGGTCAGTTTGTCCTCCAGCAGTCTAAGTCTATAGCAGCATAACTAAGGGACAGCTCAGGAAACCCAAGCCTACCCTAACTATAGGATTTATCAAAAAGGAAAGTCTTAAGTCTAGTTTTAAAACTGGACGTGTCAGCCTCAAGGACAGAAACTGGAAGTTGGTTCCACAAGAAGGGAGCCTGATGGACTTGCAACCCGTGCAGGGTGTACCCCGCCCCTCGCACAGTGATCGCTGGACATGGGCACCGGTGACCCCCGTGACCCAAAATGGAAGAAGCGGGTAAAAGATAATGGATGGATGGATGATCTAAGTCACTGTTCTCTGATGCATTACTCAACAAGACAAAGGAAAACATTGATGGAAGAGATTGTCTAAATGTTGTTACAGCGTTTTCTGATAAGCTGAAATTTACTGTCAGTGACTGTGTAGTCATTTAATGTAAACTCAAATGTTATTAAAAAATGGTCGAACAGAACAGGATTTTGAGAAACTATTACCAAGTCCTTAATCTCTATGCCAAAGGTCAGAACTAGGTCAAGAGTGTGATGATAAGAATGAGTAGATGTGCGGACGTTTTGGGTAAAACCAATGGACTCTATTAAATTATTCAAAGATTCAAGTTTTTTTTATTGTCATTCACATCACATGTGGTAAATGAGGTGAAACGAAACTATGTACACAGAGTCCCAGTTACATCCAACAAAAATACAAATAGTAAATTAATAAGATTTAAAATATAAACTAAGAAATGTGCTAAACTAAGAATACACTAAGCATTAATAGTACAAAACAATGCACCGAACAACAGCAGCACAAACATGAGTCTGTGTTTGTGGGGTTCCTCAGGAGTCAGTCCTGGGTCCCAAACGGTTTATAATTTATGTAAATGATCTATGTATTGTACCTGAGATAATGAAAAGCATACTATTTGCAGATGATACAAACATTTTTTTGTGTTGGAGATGACATGGAACAACTGTTAAAGGATGTAACTGATGAATTGAACAAACTTAAAAGTTGTTATGATGAAAATAAGCTGTCCTTGATCCTAAACAAAAACAAAAATAATGTTACAAATAGATGGGCTGAATATTGAAAGAGTTCATGAAAACAAATTTCTAGGTGTCATTACTGATGATAAACTCATCTGGAAACCACACATCAGATATGTTCAAAGTAAAGTCTCAAGAAATATCA